AAGTCCAGTACAGTGCTGGTTAGTAAATGAGGTGTCTTTAGGATGAGACGTCAACTGATGTTGAAGATCCTGTGACGCTATCTGAACTATTCTGGCCAACAATATTCTGGAGAAATTAGCCACTTACCACGTGGCTACTTGTGGGATTGTACTGTGTGCAAAACAGCTGATGCGTTTGCCTATATAAAATCCCAGTGGACAATGGTAATTATTGTGAAGTGTGCCTGAAAAGGTGGTGGAGGCCGATTCGATAATAATAATATATTAATAATAATCCTTGCATTTGATATAGCGCTTTTCACGTCTTCTAGACATCTCAAAGCACTTCACAGAATAGACTGTAAAGTGAATTGACTGTATATTTGTGGGCGAAATGCTGCAGCCAATTGCGCACAGCAGCGTCCCACAAACGGTCGTGGATTGAAATGACCAATTTATTATTGTTTTTTTTGAGGGATTATTATCAGGCTTTTTCATAATTTTTAGTAAGAGACAACAATAATAAATAATAATAAATAAATAATACATGAATAATAAATATAAATAATAATAAAATCTGGGCGTTTGAAAAACTTTCATCACTTTGAAAAATGTATGTGTGTGTGGGGGGGAGATACAAATGTTGTGATTGCTCAAATGAAATCCATACATTGAAAAAGTTCTGTTTCATCAAAAATTAACTTATTCAGTGTCTGTGAATAAATGCCTGATAACAGTTTTTAAGGGAGAAGTAGATAATTATTTGGGGAGGATAAGTTTGCAGGGCAATTGGGAGAGAGCAGGGGAGTGGGATTGATTTGGATAGCTCTTTTCAAAGAGCTGGCACAGACACGATGGGCCGAATGGCCTCCTTCTGTGCTGTATAATTCTATGATTCTATGATATTATGATGTTAAGAGGCCCTGCGGAAATGCAAGTACTTCCTCCTTTCTTACCTGGGAAATTAGATGCACCTACTGACTTACTCCATGCTAATGTTGGTCCTAGCTGGACAAGCATGCCACACAGTGGCAATGGCAGGCTATGTGGTTTAAGCAGGTTGAGCTCCAGCAGTTATCCCAACGCACACTCTGGGGTCCCCCAAGCCTTGGCTCTTACCAAACTGCACCTAATATTCTTGGGAATTAGGTAAGCAGGTTGCATCCCTCGAGGGAAACAGGTTACTTATGCAATTGAAGAGGCAGAAATATATCCATGCATTGGTGTCATCCATATGTGGAGCTCCCAATCTGATTTGGATACTTTTAAGCGCGGTGATGGGTTTCTGGATTTGTTAAGACACCCAGCTTGATTTTGAGCCATTTATATCCAAAATAATGTCAGACGTGAAAATGCTGCATGTCATCAAATCACTTCAGCAAAAGAAACCCTGTGGATTATCTATGTGAGATGCAAACACTGCCCTCCATCTTGTCTGATCCCAACCCCCTGCTCGGGTCCAAATCACTGACTGTCCAGCGCCTTTCTCCCGACGTGAAAGGCGCTATACAAATGTCATTTTGTATTGTATTTCCTTGTTTTTGCTTGAATTAATTCCGGACGGTGGAACTTTTTGTCAGATCATTTGTTGAAGTGATTGTTTAAGGCACCGACTAACTAGATAGAGCCTTTTGAAAACTGGCAAATCATTCAAATAAAACCAGCCCTTACAGCCCATTCCCCAGGAGAGTCCTCATTCCCCGAATGCAAAGTTGTAAAGACGATAATTGTGTCTTTGTTTATGTTTTTTGTATAATTGTTGCAGACAGTGAAATGGGAAATAAAAGGCACATTGTTTCTTGCCAATGAAAGTGCTTTTGGGAACTCGGGCATCAAGCAGTCCTGCCTTTCATCATCAGCTCATGCACCACGTTCCAATTTGTTTTCAATAATTAGACAAGGAATGAGCAGACATCAGTTCAAGCTGGTGAACACACCACTGTACGTCTAATCTTTTAGTTTCCTTCCTATCTCCTCTAGTTGGCTCCCGATGGTTCTTAAACAAACTGTAAGTATCAGCCTGGCTCAGTTGGTAGCACGCTCGCCTCTGACCTTGTTCAAGCCCCCACATTGGGAGTTTGAGCTCACAAGTCTTGACTGATATCTAGTGCTTTGATGGGGGACTGGGGTTGCATTGTCGGAGATGTTGATATTTGGACGAGACCTTAAACTGAAGGCATTTGATAAAGTGCCACGTAAGAGATGTGTAAGCAAAATAGAAGCCCATGGTATTAAGGGACAGTGGCAGCATGGATACAGAACTGGTTGGGAGACAGAAAGCAGAGAGTGGTGGTGAAAAGTTGTTTTTGTGACTGGAGGGAAGTGTGCAGTGGTGTCTCCGAGGGTTGGGTTTGGGACCACTGCTGTTTTTGATCTATATAAATGACCTGAACTTGGGTATAGGGATTACAATTTCCAAGTTTGCAGATGATATTAAGCTACGAAAAGTCGTAAACAGTGAGGACGATAGTAGCAGACTGCAAGAGGACATAGACAGACTGGTAAAATGGGCAGACACGTGGCAGATGAAGATTAATGTGGAGAAATGCAAAGTGATGCATTTTGAGAGGAAGAATGAGGAGAGGCAATATAATCTGATGGTACAGTCTTAAAGGGGGTGAAGGAACAGAGAGCCCTGGAAGTTCATATAAGTAAATCTTTGAAGGTGGCAGGACAGGTAGATAAAGCTGTTAAAAAAGTATACTGGATACTAGGCTTTATAAACAGGCGCATTGAATACATAAGTCAGGAAGTTATGATGAACCTTTATAAAACACTGGTTAGGCCTCAGCTGGAGACGGTGTTCAGTTCTGGGCACCACACTTTAGAAAGGAAATCAAGGCATTGGAGAGGGTGCAAAGGAGATTTACCAGGATGGTACCAGGAATGAGGGGCTTTGGTTATCTGGAGAGGCTAGAGAAGCTAGGATTATTCTTCTTAGAGCAGAGAAAGTTAAGAGGAGACTTAATAGAAGTTTTCAAAATTATGAGGGGATTCAATAGGGTGAACAAGAAGAAACTATTTCCACTGGCGGGTGGGTCAGTAACCCGAGGACATCGAATTAAAATTGGTGTTTAAAAAAAACAGAGTGGAGGTGAGGAGAAATGTTTTCACACGAGTTGCTCGAATCTGGAATGCATTGCCTGAAAGGGTGGTAGAAGCCGATTTGGTAACATCTTCTAAGAGAGAAGTAGATAATTATTTGGGGAGGACAGGTTTGCAGGGCTATGGGGAGAGCGCGGGGGAGTGGGATTGATTCAGGTAAGTCTTTTCAAAGAGCCGGCACAGACACGGTGGGCCGACTGGACTCCTTCTGAGCAATATAATTCTATGATTCTATGAAGTCCCGTCTGGCTGCTCAGTTGAATGTCGGAATTTGGAATTACATAATCTAAGATGACGCTCCATGCAGGCTGCAGGTGTGATGCATTGTCGAAGGTGCTGTCATTTGGATGAGATGTTAAATCGAGGTCCGGTCTGCTTGTTCCAGGGGGATGTTAAAGATCCCATGGACCTATTCAAAAAGAGAAGGGAATTTCTCCTTGTGTCCTTGCCAACAATCCCCAAATAAAATTTGACAATCGTTTCTTTGTTGTTTGTAGGGCATTGCCGTGCTCAATTATGCTGCTGTGTTTGCTACAAATAAACAGTCACTCCTTGTCACTGTAATTCCTGTGAAGCACTTTGAGGTATCCTCTCAATATGAAAGACGATAAGGCACAATGCCAAATGCCATGATTATTATTTTCATTAAGAAGTGTGAAACGCTTTGAGATGTTGCAACATCAAGTGGAAGAATCATGATTCAAAATGATCAATGATCAATTGATCAATGACTTTACTTAAGTAGAGCATCTACTGTGACCTTCTCTGAAAGCTGACAAGGCAAATGTTGTTAGTGTGTCTCAGTGGCCTGGGTCGGGTGACTGCTTTCACAACCGAGATTTCTGCAAGTATTAGGCGGTGAACCTGACATATTAACTCGGTGACCCCTTATCCTCTTCTTCCCCTCCGCCCCCCCCCCCCCCATTCCGAATCATGATCACGTTGTTTCTATTGCTGTCCTCCAGTACCTAAAGGCTCCACAGACCTGTCTCACGCACCGCTGAGCAAGAAATCTGATTCATTCACACCCACTTCATAATGTGCTTCACGGATTGTCAGGAGATCGGAATCGATGATTTTCTAGACTTTCGTGCAGAAAGAGCCCTCAAGCTATATGTTTTGAATGTTGCAGCCAAATCCATTCATACAGCTGCTAAATGACTTAGACACGCTTCTAACAGCACAAGGATTTGGATAGATTAGCAGCATTTAGAGGCGGACGTAATAACAATACCCGGAGGTAATAAGTGGAGAGCATTTGCCATCATAAGTAATGGAACGAGTGCTGTTTTTAGCAGTCAGCGCGTGTTAAATTGATTGAGTGTAAATTGTGATGTGATTTGTTAATTACAAAGAAGGGTGAAGTGAGTCGGGGTGTAATTATCGATTGGTCTCCAGTGTCATGGTGTCATTTCCTCTCTCCTCTCCCCTCCTGTTCCCCAAATCTTGTTACAGTGGTTTATCGGATTGGACTGAATGTTGGTGAGCTGGCTACATATACTGGATACATTCTCCCACTATCTCGGCTGATCTCCACCGCAGTGCTGGGGGAGGGAAGCATTGTTGGAGTTGCCGTCCTTTGGATGAGATCTAAAATCGTGCTCCACCCCTGTCAAGCGCTCTGGGACGCTACCCTGAGTGAGGGCGCTATATAAATACATTTGCATAGCGCCTTTCATGTTGTGAAGACATCCCAGTGGTCTTTCATGTTGTGAAGATATCCCAAGGCGCTGGCATGCAAGTTGTTGTTTTTGATGCTGTTGATGGGGAGCGGTGTGAAATGGGAGGATCTCCAGCCAGATTTGCGGCGTGGGTGTGTGTGCGCGTGTGTGTGCCTGTGTAGTTTCTGTGTAGATGGAGTTGCTTGGACCAGTGAAAGGAAAGAAATCACAAGAGGATCTTCTCTCTCTCTGCAGCGAGGCCTTTTTCGTCTGCCTCATGGAGACTATTTCATCGAGCCCATTGGCAACCACTCAGGGCAGGAAGAGGAACGACAGGCCCACATCGTGTACAAGAGGCATGATGCACAGCACAACCGCAGGAAACGATGGGATGTCGCATCTGAAGGAGCTGGGGCATGCGGAGTGCAAGGTATGGACATTAAACTCCCATTGTCCAGGCTGACCTCCAGTACAGCATTGTTGGAGCTGCCCCCTTTAGGATGAGATCTGAAACCGAGGTTCTGTCTACATGTTCAGGTGGACGATACAGATCCAATAATCCCGGAGAAGGGAGTTTCTCCCAGTGGCCTGGCATAACAAACCCTTCAGACATATGCAGCACATTGGTTAGAGCACCCCCTTTGCAAGTGAGAGGACCCGGGTTTGATTCCTGGGCAGGGCTATACCATACTCCACATGCCTCTAGTTTACCTAGAAGTAAATAGAAACCCGGTTGTTAGTCAATCGGCGGATTGCTTTCCAGGGGTAGTAATCCCTCCAAAAACTATATATACACGGTTATTCAAACCACGTAGTCGCAATTGGCTGCTGCGTTCCGCCCACAAAATATACAGTCAATTCACTTGATAGTATATTCTGTGACGCGCTTTGAGTTGTCTCAACAATGTGATGAGGTGCTATATCAAATGCAAGGATTATTACTACTCTTATTATTATATGGTGAGTTTGGATGCTGAGCATGTAGAAAAAGGGTACAAGGGGAGGTGACCATAGGCTTGGTCCACTGAGGTGCATTCGATGATAGGGCCAGGGACAGGGAGTTCCAGAGGATGGCAGAATGACTATAAGCCTGACTACCGAGGATGATGTGAAGGGGTGCACAACGTGTTTGTTAGCTGAATAAACATGTAACATGATGTATATCACAGGAACAACAATTATAAACCGATTTGAGTGTGAGTCTCCCCCACCACAGCCCCCCCACCCCCAACACACACACACACATACACACACTAGCCACAGCTTTCTGTCTCCGAGCGACTGATGGCTGGCTGAGCCAAGGTGCAAAATAAATGAATAATGTGGCACCTCCAATGATGCAGCTTTCGTTCCACCAAGCACTGAAGTATCAGACTAATGTGTCTGCTTAACTTTCCAGTTGATCTCTTATCACTTAGTTACCAGATTGCTTCACAATCTGCAGGCAAAGGACTCACAACCACATCATTCATCTTGTCTGGAACATGCACTAAAATTATCAATCATTGTAACTTTAGCATCAAGCCTTGCTTGTTGCACTCCAATGCTGCGAAAAACTTATTTCTACTGAATACAAATGAAGGAAAAGTCACCGTCTGGGAATTCTGGTTGGTGCAAAGATTTATTTTGGTCAACCAGGTGCCTAACACACTTAGAAGCTCATCACTGTTGTTAATTGGTCCGTCGCTTCATGGCTGTTTGTGGGACATTGCTGTGCGCAAATTTGGCTGCTACTGTTACCAACAACAACAACAACAAGATTGCATTTATAGAGCGCCTTTCACGTCGGGAGGACGTCCCAAGGCGCTGGGTTGGGTTGAGATCCGAGCAGGAGGGAAATGGTCAGGGTGAGGGGAGGGAAGGAAGGGAGCGAGGAGGGGATAGAGATTCGAGAGGGGAGGTGAAGGCACGGTTGAAGAGAAAGATCTTGAGACCGGCCTTGAAGGAGGAAAGGGAGGAAGCAAGGAGAAGGCACTGGGGGATGGAGTTCCAGAGCCTCGGGGCTGAGAGGCTGAATGACCAGCCTCCGATGGTAGGGTGGTTAGGGCGGGGGTTGTGGAGCAGACCGGAGCCAGAGGAACGGAGGGTATGGGCAGGTAAGTAGGGGGATAGTAGGTCGGAGAGGTAGGAGGGAGCGAGGCCGTGAATGGCCTTGTAGGTGAGGATGAGGATCTTGAATTCGATCCTCTGGGGGATGGGGAGCCAGTGGAGGCGAGCGAGGGTGGGAGTGATGTGGTCGCGAAGCCTGGTGCGGGACAGTACACGAGCTGCAGAGTTCTGAATGACCTGCAGTTTGTGGAGGGAGGGGCCGGGAAGGCCGGTGAGGAGAGAGTTCCCGTCGTCCAGCCTTGAGATGATAAAGGTGTGGACCAGTGTTTCAGCGGCGTGAGGGGTGAGGTAGTGCCATAGTCTGGCGACGTCTGGAGGTGGGGGAAGGTGGTGCCAGTTGTGGCGCGGATGTGGGGAAGAAAGGACAACTCAGGGTCGAACAGAACACGGGCTTTGAGTGGTGGAGAGTGCAGCCTTGGATGCTGATGCTGTCAGCGCCAGAGGTGCGGAGGCGCTAACGCGAGCCAATCAGGAGGGCCTCAGTTTTACGCACGTTGAGCTGAAGAAAGTTGTCTCTCGTCCAGGACTCGATGTCAGACAGGCAGACTGTCAGGACATCGGGGGACGTGGAGTTGAGGGTAGAGGAGGAAAGGTAGAGTTGGGTGTCATCCGCATACATGTGGAAGTTAATCCCATGTCTGCGGATGATATCACTAAGGGGGAGCATATAGAGGGTGAAGAGGAGGGGACCGAGGACAGAGCCCTGAGGGACGCCGCACAAGACAGTGCGGGGGGTGGAGGAAAAGCCGTTTGTGGAAACAAAATGAAGACGGAGGGAGAGGTACGACCTAAACCACTCAAGGACAGGGCCTTGGAGGTTGAGGTGGGAGGACAAGCCGTGGAGGAGGATAGTGTGGTCGCCCGTATCGAATGCGGCTAATAGGTCGAGGAGGACGAGAAGGCAGAGGGAGCCTGGTCGCAGATGGTCAAGATGTCATTGGTGACCTTGACCAGGGTGGTTTCCGTGCTATGGGCAGCACGGAAACCCGACTGGAGAGGTTCAAAAAGTGAACAAAACAGTCACAAGATCACAAGATAGGTTGGGATGAAGAAGGCCGCTTTGGCTTCTGAAGCAAGAACACTCACCTCACAAGCGAGAAGACCTGGGTTTGATTTCCAGGCAGGGGAAAACTTGGGCAAGTTTCCTTTCTACACACTCCTCTGTTTACCTAGCAGTAAGTAGGAACCTGGTTATTAATCGATTGGCAGATCGCTTTTCCAAGGGTAATAATCCGTTGAAAAAATAATAATAGTAAATTGGTCACTCAATCCACGACTGTTTGTGGGACACTGCTGTGTGCAATTGGCTGCCGCGTTTCACTCACAAAATATATGGTCAATTCACTTTACAGCATATTCTGTGAAGTGCTTGGAGATATCTATATCAAATGCCAGGATTATCATTAATAATAATAATAATCCTTGCATTTGATTTCACGCTTTTCACGTCTTCGCGACGTCTCAAAGCGCTTCACAGAGTATGCTGTAAAGTGAATTGACTGTATATTTGTGGGCGAAATGTAGCAGCCAATTGCGCACAGCAGTGTCCCACAAACAGTCGTGGATTGCAAATGACCAATTTATTATTGTTATGTTTTGGAGGGATTATTATTAGGTGTGTGGAGTAAGAAAACTTGCCCAAGGTTTCGTCCTACCTGGAATTGAACCCAGGTGTCTCGCTTGCAAGGCGAGTGCTCTAACCACTGAGCTACAGGACTCCACAACAACATTATTACAACACCACCACCACCAACAAGATTACATTTATATAGCACCTTTCACGTTGGGAGGACGTCCCAAGGCACTGGACAGTGTACGGAATTTCAGACCCGAGCTGGGGTCAGGAAGGGGAGAAGGGAGGGGAGGGGAAGGTGGCGATGGCATGGTCGAAGAGGATTATAATTATTATTATTAGCAGTAGTATTAGTATTATTTTCTGATCTCATCCTTCCCCACCCCCACCCTACGTCTCTCATCAGAGCATCAAGCTGTTTTGTAATTGAGTCCCAGCATCCTGGCCTCGCTGGCATTTGCTACTCTTAAAACAAATTACTGTAAGGCAGGCACCCTGAAATGTTTTGAAGTAAAATACATTGTGCTACATATTTATTAATTTATTTGATGCAGCATCGTTCACATAGGGAGGACAGTTTAAAGTGATTCGCAGGATATACTGTGAAAGTGTAGCGAACTGTGTATTTAGAAGACAAACTCGTCAGCCAATTTGCTCAGAGCGATGTCCCACGCACACAGCCATGGAGTGAGTGATCAATTTTATTTGGGGGAAATGTTGGCCAGAAGACCGGGAAGGAGATACTCTCTTCTCTTTTTAAACAGCGCCACAGGGTCTTTAACGTCCACCTGACCAGGCAGCTGAAACTTCAGTTTAACGTCTCATCCGAAGCATGGTACCTCCGACAGTGCAATTCTGCCCCCAGTGAACAATTTTGGTATAAAAAGTGCAACATGTCATAGTAAACTCAGGGCTACACTGGATTGTTGAGCCCTGATGTGAGGCTCGAACCCAACACTTTCTGGGCCGGAATCAAGAATATTAGGGATTATGAACCGAGTCAAAACTGACTCGTGGGTAATGGCCAGAAACCAATTCCAGCTGCGAAAGAGTAGCCAAGTGGCCCAGGCTGGACCGTACTGCAAAAACTTTCCAGTTGTTTGGAAAGGTCCAATTTGGATTCAGAGGTTGCAGTTTAGAACCAATTTGGACTCAGAGGTTGCAGTTTAGAACCCGTTCCCCACCTCCCACTCATTCTCCTATATCATCAATCAGTGAATAGCCTCAAGCGGTGAGTTTTTCTGCATCACAAACCAGCCTAAATTTTTGCTCCACCAGCGCTCAGGCTCTGATTTCTCTTGAGTCCGTTTGAAGTAGTCTCGATGGCTTTGCCGCCTTTAGGAGAATGAACCCCCCTCCCTCGTGCTCAGAGTTAAGCAGAACCTTATAGCTTTGACATCTTAGGGGGCGACAACTGAGCTGATGCTCCTGTACAGTGCTATGCTGGGGGAAGAGGTGCATTGTCTGAGGTGCCGTCCTTCAGATGAGCTTTTAAATCAAAGCCTTGTCTTGCCGTTTAGGTGGACGTTAAAAATAATAATAATAATTCCTGCATTTGATATAGTGCTCATCACATCTCAAAGAATACAGTGTAAAGTGAATTGACTGTGTATTTTGTGGGTGGAAACACAGCAGCCAATTGCACACAGCTGTGCCCCACAAACAGTCATGGACTGGGCGACCAATTTTTTTTAAAGGAATTATCTCCCATGGAAAAGTGATCGGCAAATCCCATAAGAGAAGTTTGTCCCTCTGGGTAGCCTGGCCAACAGCAACCACATGTTGGGGACATTGCTGTGTGCAAATTGGCTGCTGTGTTTGGCTGCAAAATGCACAGTGACTGAGCTTCACAGTGAGTCACATCAAGCACTTCGAGAGGTTTCGAAGATGTGATAAAACAGTATTTCTATTGAAAGGATTATTATTATTAATATTATATTACAAACCCTGACCCAGAGGCGAGAGCTCTTTCAACTGAGCCAAGCTGTTACAAGCTGGTTATTCTTGATAAAATGCATTGGTTTTCTAATGCTTGGTGCAGATGGTTGTAACTACATCTATCAAGTCATACAAATAACAAGTAAAATGCTAAACATTGAAGAAAGCATACACGCAATTCCCTTTGGGGGCAGAGCAGATCATGAGGTAAAATACCTTAATCTATCAAAATGCTGCATCATTAAGTCTCTTTGGTCGATGTGTGAAAGCATTCGCATTAAACAGTCAGTCATTACTGTCACACAGTTGATCCACTGACAGCTTCTAACCTATCCCTTGATAGAGCCTTAATCATTCACTCAATGAAGTGCATCAGGGATTCAGAGCCATGGAATGATAGACTATTTGCAGCTCAGGAGGCCATTCAGTTTATTGAGCTCATCAGATTTGTTTGTCTTGGCTAGCTCCGCCGCTGCATCTAACTCCTCTAATCCCAACCACTTACTGTTCCCTGTAATCCTTGGTATTTTCTGCATTACAGTATTAATCAAATACCTATTCAAAACCTCTTTTGGACTCAACTCGACTTCAAAAGACGTTTGTGGGAAGGCATTTCATCTTCCAGAAATGCAGCTGATAAAAATGATGATTCTGAACAAAATAGCACTTCGAACTTGACCCATTTATTTTCCCCACTGGTGATAATCCTCATTTTACAACAATAACAAAAACGACAACACCTTGCATTTACATAATGCCCTTCACGCGGGGTAGTGTCTCGGAACACTTAACCATAGCAGAGCTTGACAGCTGAGCCGCTCTGTTGACCGCAGACACGGTTAAAGAGGAAGGATTTTCAGGTGCGATCTGAAGATGGGCAAAGAAGGGGCAAGGCGGAAAGGATGATGTTACCAATTCAAGTCTGTATGTCCGTATGTTCTGACACAAAATACCATGATTTTATTTCTTGCTGCACATTGCCATTATAATAATAATAATCCTTGCATTTGATATAGCGCCTTATCACATTGATGACACGTCTCAAAGTGCTTCACAGAATATATTTTAAAGTGGATTACCTGGGTATTTTGTGGGTGAAAATTGCAAGCGTTATTATTATCACTATTATTATTACTATTATGGTTAGATGGTAAGCACTCTCTCCTCTGAGTCAGTGGTTGTGGGTTCAAACACCACATCGAGATTTTCAATTTGTAGACCAAGCTGACATTGTAATGCAGTGGGGGGGTGTGTTTTGGCTGAGATATTAAACCGAGGTCCTGTCTGCCTGTGGAAATTGATCCACAACAACAGCAATAAATTGCACTCACACAGAGCCCTTCACATAGGATAGAGTCTCAGGCACTGGTCAGTGTTCAGTGATGGTAGAAAATGGAACAGGGACGCTAGTGTGCTACTACTTATAATAATACACATATTGAACCTACGAGTAATGATTATAATCATTACATTTGACATAGCACCCTTCATGTCAGGATGATACCTCAAAGCGCTTTGCAGAATATATTATGAATTGTTGCGACTATTTTGCAAGTAGACACAGCAGCCAACTTGCACACAGCAATGTCCCACAATCAGCTGTGAAGTGAATGACCAATTATTTTATTATTTCAAAGGACTGATGAATTCAGGGCATAGCAATTGCAGCTGTATCATATCGTTCTGAATTTGGTAAGTTGTTAATTGCAGTCTTGTGGAGTGCTGTAGCTCAGTGGTTAGAGCACTCGCCTCGCAAGCGAGAGACTAAGGTTCGATTCCCGACAGGGCGAAACCTTGGGCAAGTTTCCTTACTCCACACGCCTGATAATAATCCTTCAAGAAAAAAAAACAATAATAAATTGTGGGACACTGCTGTGCGCAATTGGCTGCCGTGTTTTGCCAACAAATATACAGTCAATTCATTTTACAGTATATTCTGTGAAGCGCTTTGAGACGTCTAGAAGACGTGAAAAGCGCTGTATCAAAAATGCAGGGATTATTATTCCTATTATTTAATTTTGAAACTGGCTTCAAAGTTAATACTGTATTGTAGTAGGTGCTGTCCTCCGGATGAGACGTTAACCCAAGATCCCGTCTTCCAGTTCAGGTTGGACGTTAAAATCCCATGGCTCTATTCGAAAAGAGAAGGGAGTTTCTGTTGGTGTTCTGCCCGATAATGCCGCAGACAAAATCGATTGTTCACTTTGTGACTTTTTATGGGACATTGCAGTGTACAAATCGGCTGCCACATTAAACCCACAAGTACATTTCATTTTACTCTTGAGAAGCGCTTTGAGAAATTACAACAAAATATCACAATATCAGATATAAGGTTTGTTAGCGCGCTCGCCTTACAAGCGAGAGGATCCGGGTTCAATTCCAGGCAGGGCGAAACCTTAGGCAAATTTCCTTACTCAACACACCTCTGTTTATTTATAAGTAGGAACCCAGTTGTTAGTTGATTGGAGAATCTCTTTCCAGGGGTAATAATCCCTTCAAAAGAATAATAATAATTTGGTCACTTAATCGACTGCTGTGTGCCATTGGCTGCTGCGTTTCGCCCACAAAATATAAAATGAATTCACTTAACAGTATATCACTTTGAGACGAATCAACTTCATGATAAGGTGCTACATTGAATTATTGTTATAACTTACAATTTATTATAACCCACAACAGAAACATTATTATTATGTCAGCCAGTTGAACAAATCCTGGAGCCAAGTGTGAGGCTTCTTAAGCATAGCCTGGTGCTTTTCATAGATTCATAGAATATTACAGCACTGAAGGAGGCCATTTAGAAGATCAGTCCCAATCTCAGTGTATTTCTTAGTTTTTAGACGGTGAGACATTTTGTCAGATAATTTGCTGAAATGATTGCTTCAGGCACTGACTAACTAGATAGAGCCTTTTGAAAACTGGCAAATCATTTGCATATTAACCAGCCCTTACAGCCCCATTCCACAGGTGGGTTACCATTTCCCCGAATGCAAAGTTGTGAAGAGGATAATTATGTCTTTATTTGTGTTTTTTGCTGCAGTGAAATGGGAAATAAAAGGCACATTGTTTCTTGCCAATGAAAGTGCTTTGTGGAACTCAGGCATTAAGCAGTCCTGCCTTTCATCATCAGCTCATGCACCACATCCCAATTTGGTTTCAATAATTAGACAAGGAATGAGCAGACATCAGTTCAACCTGGTGAACACACCACTGTACGTCTAATCTTTCAGTTTCCTTTCTGTCACCTCTAGTTGGCTCCCGATGGTTCTTCAACAAACTGTAGGTATCAGCCTGGTTCAGTTGGTAGCACGCTCGCCTCTGACTTTGTTCAAGCCCCCACATTGGGAGTTTGGGCTCACAAGTCTTGGCTGATATCCAGTGCAGCACTTGGAGAGCAGAATTTCATCACGTCCTTCAGATTAGACATGGAATCGAGGTCCTATCTGCCTGTTCAGGTGAATGTTATAAGATACCATGGCACAATTCGAAAAGAGAAGAGTTTCTTCGAGTGTCCTTGAGTAGAATCATAAAATATTACAGCACAGAAGGAGGCCATTCAGCCCATCGTGCCTCTGCGGCTCTTTGGAAGAGCTTCTAAATCAGTACTCTGCTCTTTCCCCATATCCTTGCAAATTTTTTCGTTTTCAAGTACCTGTCCAATACCCCTTTTCAGGCAGTGGATTCCAGACCGTAACAACTCTCTGTAAAAAAAGTCTCCTCATTTTCCCTCTGGTTCTTTTGCCAGTTATCTTAAATCTATGTCCGCTGGTTACTGACTCACCTGCCAGTGGAAACAGTTTCTTCCTATCTACGTTATCAAAACCCTTCATAATTTTGAACACCTTTATTAAATCTCCCCTTAACCTTCTCAATCTAACAAGAACCATCCCAGATTCTCTAGTCTCTCCACTATAAAGTCCCTCATGCCTGGTCCCATTCTGGTAAATCTCCTCGGCACCACCTCCGAGACCTTGATATCCTTCCTAAAGTGTGGGGTCCAGAATTGGACACAATACTCCAGTTGAGGCCTAATCAGTGACTTCTAAAAGTTTAGCAGAACTTTCTTGCTTTTGCCATTGTTTATAAAGCCGAAGATACCATATGCATTTTTAACAAGCTGTCCTGCCACCTGTGTATGTGAACCCCCAGGTCTCTCTGCTCCTTTACCTTTAATGGCCTGCTCCTGGACTGTATAATTCTATAATTCTATGATCCTGGTGTGAAAGGCACTATATCACGTTACCATTATTACTATTATTTTTTATCTATCACTTTTAAAATCAATTTGTCAATTTAAGTTTTTGCAATATTATTCTTTTCTTCACTTCGGGAGGATGTCACTAAGTGCTTCATAGGAGTTCACTGTAAAGTGTAGTGACTGTGCATTTTGTAGGCAAATGTGACAGCCAGTTTGTACACAGCAGTGTCTCACAAACTGCCATGAAGTGAACTTTATGTGGGGACTTGTTGGCTGGACACTGGAACAAACATCCTTATCTTTTCAAATAGTAAAATGGAATCTTTATATTCTATCTAAATAGGCAGATGGGAACGCAGTTTAATAATAACACTAATCCTAATATTTGGTAGAGCTGCTTTCACGTCAGGAGGATGTTGTTTCTTATTGTAAAGTACAGTGCCTGCATGTTTTTGTGGGCAAATGCGGCAGCCAGTTGCGCATAGAATCGTCCCACAAACAACCATGGAGTGCGTGACCAATTTTATTTGAAAGATTCTTGGCCCAGACACCGGAAGAAACTGCCTTATGTTTTCGAGATCTTGTCAGTGTCACAAGATCCTTAGCGCCCCTAAACAGACAGGGTCTCGGTCTAACGTCTCATCTGAAGGATGGCACCTCCAACAATGCAGCACACCCACAGCACTGCACTGGATTATATCAGTTCCAAGTTCAAATGTGGGGATAGAACCCACAACTTTCTGATTCAGAGGTGAGAGTGCCAGGCTGACACCAGCTAAGGAAGGGAGAAGTTGGAATGTGTCTTGCCAAGTACTTTCATCAAAAAGCACAGTACATTTCCTGACTGCAGCAGAATACTGAGGAGTGTTGACAAGGTTAACGTAGCAAAAGTCCAGAGATCTGATAGATTTTTATCATGGTCTTCCAATGAAGTGATAGCCAACCATATATGCCTTCACAAACTAGAAAATAAGTGATAAGGAATGAACTACAGTACAAATAGACCCTGTGCAAACTTGCCACAAAGTGATATTAGGTCAAAGATTTATTTTCTGTCTCCAGGCAGGTTTATTAGAGCGCCAATGAATTCTGCGTGGCCAAGTATCTCCAAATGTCATGTGGATCTTTTACCAGATATGGGACTAATAACAGAGCCATTGTTCATTATGTGGCGCCTGGGTTGGGGGAGAGAACAGAGAATGCACAAATATCTATGCGGTCTATTTATAGTTTTTTATTGCTTATTTTCTACTTTGGGAGATGATATAACATGCTGGAAAAATCATAATCCTTAGATTTGATTCAACTCCTTTCATATCAGAGATACATCTCAAAGCATTTAACCAGATTATACTGTAAAGTGCAGTGACTGCTTAGCTTAGCGACCAACACTGCAGGCAATTTGCGGACAGCATCCACCTGAACACTACAGAGAGGGCCTCGGTTTAACATTTCAGTCGAAGGACGGCACCTCCAACAATGCAATTCCCCCCCTGGTTGGAATGTCAGTTTAGACGATGTGACGATGTGATCACACGCCTAATAATAATCCCTCCAAAAACAAAACAATAATAAATTGGTCATTTTCAATCCACAACGGTTTGCGGGACACTGCTGTGCGCAATTGGCTGCCGCATTTCGCCCACAAATATATGGTCAATTCAGTTTTCAGTCTATTCTGTGAAGTGCTTTGAGACGTTGAGAAGATATAAAAAGCGCTATATCAAATGAAAGGATTATTGTTATTATTATTATCTTAAACTCCCGAGGTGGGCTTGTTTGTGGAGTCCTGTAGGGTATTGATTAGAGCACGCGTTCACAAGCAAAAGGACTTGGGTTTGATTCCCGGGTGGGGCAAAACCTAAGGCAAGTTTCCTTTCTGCACACGCCTTTGTTTACTTAGCAGTAACTCGGAAGAGGTTTGATAGTCGATTGGCGGATCGCATTTCCGAAGTATTACATTTGGTCACTCAATGCACAACTGTTTGTGGGACACTGCTGTGTGCAATTGTCTGAAGCGTTTCACCCACAAAATATACAGTCAGTTCACTTTACAGTATACTCTGAAGTTCTTTGAGATGTCTCAATGATGTGATGAGACACCATATAAAAGTAATAATAATCCTTGGATTTGGTATAGCGCTTTTTACATCTTCTCGACGTCTCAAAGCGCTTCACAGCATAGACTGTAAAGTGAATTGACCGTTTATTTGTGGGCGAAACACGGCAGCTAATTGCGCACAGCAATGTCCCACAAACAGTCGTGGATTGAAAATGACCAATTTATTATTGTTTTTGGTTTTGGAGGGATTATTATTAGGCGTATGGAGTAAGGAAACTTGCCCAAGGTTTCGCGCTGTCTGGAATTGAACCCAGGTGTCTCGCTTGCAAGGCGAGTGCTCTAACCACTGAGCTACAGGTCTCCACATATAATCTGCATATAAAATGCAAGGATTATTATTATTGATGTATCATTAAATATTATTATTATATCATGAAATCAAATCAAAGCCCATGACCGGAGATCCCACGTATAAAAATAATAAAGGAAGAAAGCAAAATAGATCCAGCATTGTAGTAATCATTAATGATTGCTCAGTCCTTTCTTCCTTTTGTTGTTGTCTCAACTAATCACTTCCTTATACTGTGCAGTGTGAAGGGAGGGGGATTCTCCCAGTGTCCTAGCCAACAATTCCCCAAATAAAATTGGTCACTCATCCATGGCTGTTTGTAGAACATTACTGTGTGGAAATTATGTGCTGCGTTTTGCCCACAAAACACACTTTACACATATCTTGTGAAGTGTTTTGGGTCATCCTTCTGTCATGAGAGGTGCTGTATCATTATTATTATTATTTATATATATGTATGTAAAAAGCAATGTTTGATGTTAAATTTTATGCATGGGTCAAACTTCAAGCTTCTCTTTGAGGTTTCAAGAGAAACTGATTTCTGTCAGGTTTTATACTGTGGTTCATGAATGTCTAAAGTCGAGCACACAGCCCTCAATCAGTAAAGTTAATGAAGCAATTCTTTGTAGTGCCATCCCTCATTGAAATCAGTTAGTCTAATCTTTATTTGATCAGTTGGGTGTTTGACACAAACAGAAACTCATCACTGTGCTTAATAGTGTCCAAATCCGACTGAGAGTTCCATATGTATAAGCCACTTAGCCATCAAAATTTCCGTGTGTGCCTTAAATAGTATAATAATAATGACTTTTTGGGGGACACAGCTGTGAACAATTAGCTCCCGCGTTTCACCCACAAAACGCACCTTCACTACACTTTAAAGTATATCCTGTGAAGCGCTTTGAGATGTCTCAATGACGTGATAAGGCACTATATCACGAGTCCTGTAGCTCAGTGGTTAGAGCACTCGCTTTGCAAGCGAGAGACCTGAGTTCAATTCCAGGCAGGGCGAAACCTTGGGCAAGTTTCCTTACTCCACACAGAGCCTAATAATAATCCCTCCAAAACCCAAAACAATAATAAATTGGTCATTTTCAATCTACGATTGTTTGTGGGACATTGCTGTGCGCAATTGGCTGCCGCGTTCGCCCACAAATATACAGTCAATTCACTTTACAGTGTGTTCTGTGAAGCGCTTTGGGACGTCCTCCCGACGTGAAAAGCGCTATATCAAATGCAAGGATTATTATTATATCAAATGCAAGGATTATCATTATTATTAATAGAATTCACGCTCTCTCCCTGGAGGATTGCACCATGCTTAACTGATTCCTGAGAGTATTAGGCACAGGTTGGTGAGAACCAAGGCTTGGGGGACACCAGAGTGTGTGTTGGGGTTTGTTAGGTCAGGGGATCAAGAGATATGGGCAAGGGCTGGTAACTGGACTTGAGGTACAGATCAGCCATGATCTTATAAAATGGCGGAACAGGCTCGAGGGGTTGAATAGCCTACTCCCGATTCTATGTTTCTATGGTTACTGCTGGAGTTAAAGTAAATAAACCCTCATAGCTTACCACTGTCTGGCAAGCTACCATTGGAACTTTGGCTGGATGTACCTTGTCCATTAAGGCTTTGGCTTGCAGAGTTAACAGGAACTGAGTGGGAAAAATCCCTGCCCCCAGTGACTGGTCAGGGATTGCAAGTCCTGGCGATGCGCCAGGCTGACTGGGCTGCCATCAACAGAGCCCTGGAATTCTGTGGATGTGCCTCCCAGGAACAGGACTCCCGAGACCGCCATA